TGCAGTAGGAACACACATGTGAAATGATTTTCCCCTTAGCAGTTGAAGACAGTGCTTGGTTAGTTACCAACTTCTTGAAGACTAATTTATCTTCATTTTTAAACTTATTATATTTAGTGTACCATCATTCTCCTTGGTTCATATCATTATTTGAAGGGTACATTCTTGACCCTCAAACCCACCCCATAATTCTTCTTTTCTGATATTTAAGTGTGGATTTCTACTAAGAAATGCTATGATCTCCTTAATTACTTTGTCACCTTTCTTATTCACTTTTTAGAAGTTCCACTTCTGTCCAACTTTAATTTAATAAAAGTAATAAAAAAGAGAATAGTCAACTGACTACAACTAGCCAGAACAGTAAAAAATAAGAAAGGTGTAAAGTTCCTAGAATTGTTCTGACAGAGATTTTCCACTAAATGCAGCATCCTCCATTTTAATTCTGGGCTATTGTAAAGCAAATTATATGATTTCTGCTTTGCTGAACATAACTTTAGGATATTAATAAGTATCATAGGCAAATAAGTACATGTAAATTTTCAGAGATTAGGCATTAAACAAATTAAAATGCAACTGTAGCACTCTATCTTATAGTCACTTTTATTATCATCATCCAAAACACATCCCTAAATTGCATTGTTCTCTCAAGAATCCAACCTTTTAGTTTTTTTAAGACCTAATCTGTCTCATACTGAACTTTAACAATCTAATTTAACTTCTAAAGCTAGAAGACTACCAAACTAATTTCTCCCCTTGATTTTTACCTACTTTAAAGCTGTCAGTAACAATCTTATCCTCTTCAAGAGGAAAAAAAAAACCCACACCCATTTAAATTCAGTTGATTTGCTGTAGTAGAAGAGAAAAATGATGCATCAACATGTCACAAAACTAATAGTGTTTGAGTTCTTCTGGATACGTCAGATATTAATTTTACAAAGCCTTCTTCCCCTGCCCCTGAGATATTCAGATGATAATCCTTCTTTTCTCCTCTTATACTTAGCTTCTTTCACATATTTATGCACTTTCTCTCTTCACCTAGGGAATCTGGGATAAAATATAACATTCCTAATTCTCACAACATCAATTAGCTGCCAAACACATTTGCAAAAAGAGGAGCTACTTCTCAGTGTCTCCTGAAGACACATCCTGTCTCTCAGCAATGTCAGTTTACACCAGGATGGTCTTAATACATTTCTAGCACAAAATATTGGTGAGTGAGTGAAAAATGTGTAGCACAGGCAACTGCTGTGCCATCAGCATAGCAAATTCCTGATCTTTTCTGGGGGTTGGACAAGATTAGACATAACTAGCAATCCTAACACTTGAGAATAAAATCATCTTCCTATAATATCAGTCATAACAGTATAAAATTTCCTAAGTGGCATATTCATGATCAGTGAAGGGGGGAACCACTACAAATGAGGCAGGAACTGAGTCTAATAAGTTCTCCCTTTGTAATTATGTGATTAGGTCAGTATTTTTGAAGTGTGTGCATGAGGAGGGGCATGAGGAGAGACACAGTTCCACAATTTTTTCTTTACATTAAGACAAAATGTCCTAGAAAATGGAATTTCTGGTTAATATCCAAAGACACAATTGTTCCAATACTACTGGAACAATTATGTTAATGTCATAATTGAGTTAATGTCATAGTTATGTTATTGCCATAATTGAGAATGCATCATTAATAAAGCCTTGTATGTTTTCAATGTCAAAATTAGACAAAGTTGTAAATACTGATGCTAACAAAAAAAGGCTGTTTCCTTCATTTTGTCTTTAGAGTCAGGAAGGTATTTTCCTTTTTAAAACCTAGTTATACATTGATACTCTAGTAAAATATCTTGAACAAAGAATACAGAGCACCCTTTCATTTAACTTTACTGACTGTTTAGAGAATATAGTTCCCAAATTACATATTCAGCAAGGATTTAAATTTTCCTGCGACTTCTTGTGAACAAGAAGATGAGCCATCTTAGTTTTACTTTTTAGGGGGACATTCTTTTCTTGAAATCATAGAATTTAAAGATATGCAGATCAATGTCAGTAAATATTCTGATGGACTTCAAGTAAAAAGGCAGTAAAGCCAAAAATATGAGTAGAGAGTCTGCATCCAGTCATGGAAATGTGCTATACTTGGCACTTTTGACATATTTTGCTGAGAGTTTCTAAAAGCAAAAGTTCATGTCAAAACAATGACTGAATTGTGGTTGCTGCAAGTTTAGTCGTTTAGGGGTAAAAAATCTGATTTTATTAAAAGTAAGCACTTAAAGAAAATAATCTAGTGGTCAACAAGCAAATTATTTTTTTATTGACATAGAAGCATAGCTATTATGACTCATAAGTACATGACTTTGTTCTTCATTAGGTGTAATAAATAATAAATACATTCTAAGTTCTACCTCTTTATGCCTCTTTCACTTACAAGTAAAGGACAAGTAAAAGTATTTCACATATCTATGAAGGCAGGAGAAAAAAAAAAAAATCATGCTCCCAGAGAGCAACAAGGGTAGATTGTTTCTACTACTTCTGAATGAGGTTTCCTACCCACGTGTTTTGGGAGAAAACAACCCATACACATTTACATATCCACACACATGGGAAAAACCTTCAGATCTAAGCATGATGGTGTGGGATTTCATAGAAGTATTTAAAGTATTGTCTTTGGAATTAAAAGAACCCAACAAAACAGCAACAACAAAACCAAATCAAATGTAGGAACTTCCCCATATAAGAGGATTTTTTGAGTTTTGATTAAGACTTCTGGTATATCAATTCAAGGCATCTCTCAACCAGAGTAGTAAAAACTTCCAAGCATCATTACACCATCACTCTTCTCAAAGAGACAGAGTTGGCTCAAACTTCCTGTTTGAACCTTGACCCCAGAGACAGCCCATTGTTACCAGCTGAATGCACACACCCATTTCCCATGCAGAATTCTGAGCACTCAGAAGAAATTATCAAAAAAGCTTTGCATGTTGCATGATTTTGCTAAGTTTTATTCCCCCATGAAAAAAGAGAAGCAAACCAGCACCTCATGTGTATTTCAAAACATAGAGCAAGATTGCTGGTGTCATCTGTGACTTTCAGGCAGTAGTATTAACTATCAAGTAGTCAAGTAAAAAATAAACCAGATTCTCAATATCTCAATAACGTAACAGGGAGGATAACAACTGGATACCGTGGAAAGATTTTCACTGCATTTGAAAAAAGAAATTTATATTCCCCAAATTTCCTATATAAAAGGCAAATTCCTCTTAACAAAAATCAAAGATCAGGACAGCCCTTCTATTTGCACCTACAACATCTTTTTTTAATACATCAGTTATGATAACTCTGCAAATATGCAAGAGTAAAAGAAAACTCAGTATCTTTCCCAATACAGAAGAGGAAATTTCACCCTGTTCCATTAGCTCATCCAGTGAGCTAGGAAATGGAAAATGTATGTAATTCCACTTCTCTTCAATGCCACATTTTATCACTTCTTTAAGCAACTTCAAAAAACAGCTATTAATAATGGACACATCTCACATTTCTTCAATCTCCCAGTTTCAACAATGTTTAAGTCTTGACAGAAGTGCTGGGCCCAAACACAAAAGATGGGCACAATACCTACAGCTGTTCCTGAAAGCATCATCTCTTTTGACTTAGAGTTCAATGAGAAAATAAGTTGAGTCTTTTTAAAACAACAAAGAAATGCAATACATTAAGAGTTGTAAAGGTTTCGATTGCTTAATTTGGTTGCATTACTACTTGAAATAAGTTGTCTGCTGAACTCAGTATGCCTTATTACAGAACCCCACACTGTGTGCTCTCAGTTCTATACATTGCTATTTAGAGTCAGTAAACACCATTTGAGAATTGTTTTCTGCAGAAAGTTAATGGATGATAATTCTAAAGTAAGATGCATGAAGAATAAACAATAGAGCTTAATATTAAGAAATCAGATAAACTAAATCTAGAACACAAATAATCTGGAATAGAAAACATTCATGTGATTTATTAGGTCCAATAAAGGAAATTGGAAATTTCACAGAAAGGCTCTCAATCAAAATGCCCACAATCATTTCAATGGAAAAATTTACTTATCTACTATCATTGGTTTTAAAAATCACCTAAGATTTGTGAAAGAAATTAAAATTTTAGCAGTTTTCTTTCAATCCAAAAGAATTAGGAGAACTAGGCAATTCTGGAATCCTCTCCCTAATATAATCAGAAGGCTGAACAGCAGGAACACACATCTCTACAGCTGTTCACCGATGTACAAAGCCTGAAACTAGCTCCGTAATTGTTGTACTCTTGGACTGCGTTTCCATGAAAGAACAGATGAATATTGACTAGATGAAATAATATTTATTTCAACTGATACCTCAGATTTCTTGTCAGAAAGAAAAATCAGCCCCTTCCCTGAATTATGCAAGTGGATTTCTTAAGCCTCACGACACAAAGTCTTTGTACCTGCCTAACTCAGGAATTGCACAGAGACCCTTAATCTCAACAGCTGTGCACTTATGGTAAGGTTAGACAAGGAACATTCCTACTGAGGAAATATTTACATGAGAAGCTGTAGCCCTCTGTAGGCATACCTCCATTACAAATATGAAAAATAACATTATATACAAACTTCATCTGCAGTTTTAAGTAAAGCTTGATGCCAGCACATTTTGAAAGACATTTACTTGCACTTTCAAAAGCAAACATCAATAAAAATTATGTTTAAAGTAACACGAATATATTTTATTTGCCATGCTTTGCATTCATCAGCCAAACATAAGGCTCATTTTGCTGCTTTTCTTAACATGAATGCAGAAGTTGACTTCTAACCAAGATAATCTAAGGATATGACACAAATGAGGTATAATTAAGTGCTGCAGATTTTTTTAGAAATGCTTGTGTTGATAATTCCAACTGAAAGTGTGTACATCTAGCTAGAGGTTTCAACTTGACACATTCAAAAATACCAAGGCACTTGTACAACTTGGGCATATTTAAAAAGGACTTACTTTTATTGTAGCAGGTTGCAAGTACACCTTTGTCAGCAGGACTTGTACTAATGTGCCAAATTTCACCCACTTGATGAAGAAGAACATTTTTGTTTATAATGTTATTTTCATCATCAAAATCTATGATGTGAATCTGCAAATACAATAAAATAGAACATTAGGGTTTCAAATGCATTCCTGTGGGTCTTAATTATACACAATGACTACATGGAACAATTTAATGAGATTTTTATAACCAATATCTACTTTAATTGTTATACTAACAATTTACTATATCATTGATTTCATGCAGGATTAACTTTTCTAGGAAAACACAAGCAATTTCCCTGTTTGAGGAAATACCATGCTTATTCTCAATTTTCAACTTAAAGCTTGAAGGTGATTTTTCGTTTTATAGCTAATAGTAAATAAGCCATGTATTAGAATTCAACACTTCTTATAGGAATAAACAAAAATAACAACATTACAATCCTTAGTCTAAATGTCTGCACCAATTCTGTATCAAAATCATCTAATTCAAATCATCTACAAAGAAAGAAAGAGAGAGAGGGAAAGGACTCTACTTGAAGCAAGTACTTTACACTCAGTTAGAACTTTGACAGTTCACTTTAGCAGTCACATATTACTACCAAGACACAAATCTACTTGTTTCATACTATATGGAAACAAAGTACTGAAAGATGAAGAAAAACAATAATATTTAAATATATTGATAATATTTTTAAAAGACAGAAGTAAGTTTGCTTTTTATTATTTTCATTTTTGTTTGTAGCAGGTTTCTTTGCTATGTTTTTTCTTTTTTTTAAGAGGTCTGTCATTTTTCCCTCCCTTTCATTAGTCAGCTGTTTTTTTATAGTTGCTGCAGAAATACAAGGAATTTAGGAAGATTTTAGCCTGGCATAATGTAAAGAAGGAACTTTAGTTATGGTACTAATTCCCCTAAGCTCAACAGTGGACAAATAAATTTTAGAAGACTCACAAATTTTGAAGAACTGTATCCTCATTAAAAATTAATTTTCAAAGTTGGGTGAACAATGAAGAGGAAAAAAACCCAAGAGTTATCCTATCATCATGACTGAATCAAGTTAACTAAATTAACTACTGAATCACTGCAAAAAGCTATACAGAAGATTTTCTTAAAATACAGAAGCTGCAATATAGGTCTCAACTTCATCTTAATACTATTATTTTTAAGGGGGTGAGTTTACACATTACCTTTTATTTTACTGCCCAAACAGTCATCAGAAACTCCTCCTTCAAATATAATCCTGCACCACACCATCTATATTACTCTTTCATTTTGTCATCCCAGCCATAGAACTGCCTCTGCAGTTGAGACTTCATTTGCAGCCTTGAATCTAGAAACCTATTCAAGAATCAGAACACCTTCCATCTACCCTATCAACTGCATATCCATCTTAGAGTGACAAAAAAGATCAGTTTAACCTCAGACCTTTTTTTTATTTGGAGTCTCCTTTGGCAGCTTAGGCTAAGTTTCTCACCCAAGAAAGTCAACTATAAATGTCAACCCTATATGCTACAGCCACACCCATCTCTCCCCACACTAACCCAGGTTGAAAGTCACTCAGCACATATGGGAGTGCTCTTCAACCCACCTGAAGCCCTTTGAAGGCACAGATCACCAACCTCTCTCTGCTATTATGTTTCCGATTCAGCTGACAACATGGACAGCTCTGAACTAGTGGAACACACATGTGAGATTCACATTCTCTGAACTTGAGAGAAACAGTGAGAGAAGCAGAGAAGAGAATGACCAAAACAATCCTTATCTTATTTGCTGCACTTGTGTTTGTGCACAAGTGGAATGCATTATAGAAGATTGTTTACCTGAAGGGAATTGGTATTCAGATTCTGGTGTGAGTATTTTGTTTTCTTGACCAATCTCTGCAAGCTGTGTCCTGACGGCCAGTCAGGAGACAGTCACGAGATTTTGTTGAGTTCTTGTTCAGTTTTAGTTTAGATGTAGTGTCATGTAGTGTAATATAGTACAGAATAATACAGTATAGTAAAGTAATTAATTAGCCTTCTGATATCATGGAGTCCTGCTCATCATTCTTCCTGCCTGTCGGGCAAAATTTTACAATACACACAGGTAGCTCATGAAAGGCCCAGACTGAGATTTCTGGGAAATGCGAAGTTTAATTCTTATGCAGCAGTATTGTTTACATTTTGTGAGTTGAAAAATTACATCTTTCACAGCTATGCCAGCCAATCAACACTACCTACCAGCGTAAGTTTATCAGCAGATCAGAAAGAACTGCAAAAATTCCCCCAATGGTTTTTTGCTAAGAATCTTTCTATTGATTTGAATACATGATATATGGAATAGTCACTTCACTAAATACTAAGGACCACAGAAATTTCATAGAAAGTATTTGAATACCTAATACTGTACACCATTAAACCATGTCCTCAAGTGCCATATTCACACTTTTTTGAGCTCTTCCAGGGATGATGACTCTACCACTTCCCTGGGCATTCTTTCCCAATACTTTATAACCCTTTCCATGAAAACATTTTTCTTAATATCCAGCTTAAACTTCTCCTGGTGTAACTTAAAGGTTATTTCCTCTCACCTGTCCCATCTCCTGCCTGGGAGAAGAGACTGACCCCCACCTGGCACAACCTCCTTTCAGGTAGCTGTAGACAGTGATAAGACACCGCCACCCCTCCCCAGCCTCCTTTTCTGCAGATTGAACAACCCTGGCTCCCTCAGCTGCTCCTCATAACAGCTGTAACTCCATGCCCATCACCATCTCCATCACCCTTCTTTGGACACACTCCAGCACCTCAAAGCCTTCATTGCAGCGAGGAGCCCAGAACTGAACACAAGGTTTGAGGTGCAGACTACAGCAGAAGCAATGCGCAGTATAAATCATAAAAATAATTATTTTAAGTTCTAAGACACAAGACTGAAAATAACTTGAAGAGTTCTGAGAATGAGATGAGGAAAGAATAAATTACATACTTGGATATTTCCAATGCATACAATAAACACAAAGTTCAGCAACAATGAAAGTATTGAGGACAAATGTTCCAAAAGTACACAGTGCTACTCCTTAAATCATTTGCAGCATGTTATGAGGACCAAATGCCAAGTCCTATACACTACTAATATGTCAAATACCTAACCTAATGTAAAATCTTATAAGAACTTTCCTTTCCTTTGAAATACTAGTATTAATAGGAAAATATTTTCACCTAAAATATATTCTATGAATACCTAAAATTGCTTTATACAGCAATATACCTCAATGAGGCAAAAGTTATCATGCCAGCTGTAAAATTACTGCTCTTTCATTTGCACTATACCTGCCCATGACCAGAAGGGAAGAAATAATCTGCACATGATAAAACCTCTCGCTGTGCAGGACTTAGTAAAGTATTAAGTGTTGCAAGAAAAGCTCATAAGTTCGGTCAGGTAACTAAAAAAGTTTTTAAGCAAATGTAGAGAACCTAGTGCTGAATTAAGTTATAATGAGCTGAGCCTAGGGCACTTCTTGGGGATTGAGGAACCAGCTGAGAAGAAATGATGGCCTGAGGCACAGCTAAAGGCCAATAACCTCCAAACATTTGTGAATACACTAGAAATTGTCCTCCATTTCTATTGTTAATGTTATTCACTGGAGAAAGAAAAGCATATTCAAAGTTGAAACATATGCAAACATTTCCAAAATACATAGCATATACCAAATAAACTTATCAAAATCAGAAAACCTAAATTATTGAAGATCTCTTGGCTATCAACTGGTGAGAACCACTCTTCTACATCAATTTTGTATCAGGATTTAATTAGTTGAGCAAGGTGTAAAACTATCACAGAAGTAACAGTTAAAAAACCCTCACATTATACCAAATACTTGAAGAGCAAGAGACAGGACGATCAAAATTATAATTGTGTGCATTGAATTTTTAATTTTAACTAAGTGTGTCTGCCACTTCTTTTGTTACTCTTTGCCCAAGTATTACTTGAAATGGAAATAAACTGAATACTCCATCCCCCTTATCCTTGGAATAACTTTTCTTGAGTCTCATCCAGTGCTATCATTGAGTAATGAACTCAAAACCTCACTGGGAACTGACAGCTGACATGTCCCAAAGCTGTCGTTCCAAGTGATTTTGTGCAGGCCATTACAGGCCATTTTCAAAGAGTTGGTCACTCCATTCAATGCCAGGGACTTCTGTGGTGGGTGTCAGCCTTGGCTAACAGACTCCCACGCAGACACCTGCTCTCCCCAGGAAAGACAGGGGGAGAAACCAGGAAGAATAGTAATGAGATTGTTTATGTGCCAATGAGATTGTCTGTGCCAAGCTACAGACAGAGAGGTCACTAACTAAGTAATTTTCTGGGCAAAACAGACTTGACTTGGGTGAACGAATTAGTTCATTGGCAGTTAAACAAGTACCTTCTCTCCCCCACTTTCCAGGCTGAACTTCAACCAGACTCCTCTGATCCTTTCAAGTGGGGCAGGGGGATGTGGGGCAGTGGTGGTAATGGGTGTTTTCTCTCTGATGCTCTCTGCATCTCACTCTGTTCCTCTGCTTCAGCACAGGGCCTTCATGGGAAAATGACTCACCTGTGTCCTGAAGTGGATTCACTGGAACCAGCCGTGTCTGGCACAGGCAACCCCTGGCCTCTTCTCAGACGCCACTCCTGCAGCTCTCCTGCCACCCAAGCCTTGCCACCTGCACTCAGTACTGCCTTCTAACCCTTTCAGCCTCAAGAACTTGTTTCAGTACGATTTCTACTGAAATTCAGTCACAAAAATTAAATTTGCTGTAAAATTACCACTCGTACACTTAACCTCAGAAGAAACAGCCCAATAGAAACTGAGCCATGAAAGTAACTCAAATTTTAATTTGAATTGTTTGAATGATCAGAAAGGACACAGCTGATTTCCAATAATGAATATTGAAAAATCATGTTTATGAAGCATCATGTTCAGTACACTGAACTGTGCATGTACAAAGAGTCCCATTAGAAGCAATTAAGGCCTAAAGAATTTTGTTTTACTTTGCGTCTCTTCAGGGATTTAAAGATAGTTCCAGAGCATCTATAGATTCAAATTAACAAAAATATGGCAGTTTCTTTAGTAAACTAATCTGATTTGATCATACAATTTAGAAGAGGGATATGATATTCAGAAAATGTACACAGCTTTCATTCACCTCCATTTCCTACCAATATCTTTACATTCTACCTACAAAAGTCTTCAACTTGACTATCAATGCTCATACTCAACAGGGGGGAGAAAGGAAAAGGGATGATATCAGAACAATGTTACAAAAAGTGGTAAAAATTACAACTGATATTTGACAGAAAAATTACCTGATTATCATATCTAAGAGACTGCGTTCCAACCAAAAATCTTATTGCATCTGTTTCTGCTGTCTGAGGTGTTAAAGCTCGTGCCTAGGGAAGAAGAAAGCCATTAGAAAAGTACAATTAATAAAATCAATTAAGTTCAGCAAAAAATTTGAAACATATATCAATTGTCATGACATTCTTTCAAATGGCAGACTTTCTTGCCCTTTATGCCCATTTTGCTTAATACATTTTTTGTGCAATTTCTCGTACTTGTGAGGATTGAGGAACACAGGTGCTAAATACATTACCTGATCTTCATTATAACAGGGATAACATTAAATGCAGCGTCTCTCCCAAACTAATTTTCCTTTATCATCTGAAAAAACTCCATAGAACAGTGGGCAATTTTTAACTATTGTTAAAAAACAATACGATATCCAAGGAAGAAGCTGTTTTCACAAGAGTTTACACACCACTCAGGTTGAACATGCCAATGTAAAAATTAATTTTTTTCTCACCATTAACCACCATGTTTAGAAGCAAATTAAAAACCAAGCCACCTCTTTTCTGCTGAAGCCCATTAGAGATAAGAATTGTCTGAATGATGGGAGAAGTAATTTGTTATTTATCTTTAAAACTTTTGTCATAATGTTATTTCTTTGTTGTATTATGTAATGGCATTGCTAGAGTCTCTGCCTTGCTTCTTCAACTTATACCAACGACAGTCTTGAAAGAAGCAAAACAAAGCAGTTAAGGGCCATGGGAGACACTGATAAACAAAGCACAGCTTGAACTAAAACCACAATCACTAGTTTGCACTAGTCAGTAGCAGAGACTCTTAGACAAATTTGAGTAAATGGCAGGTAAACTAATACTCAAAGGCATTTTTATCAACTATATATTGTGAGGAATATCTGCTATTTCTCCATTCAAAAGATACCCTTAATAATATTGTTCAATATGAGTTTTTTTTAATCTAAAAATAAATCTCTGCGATTCACATCCTATTTGGCACAAAATAGCTCCGATCTCTCCAGACACTAAGGCAAATATTTCAAGCAAATACTGATGAAGGATTCAGGTAACTGCTGAATGGCCCTTCTTACTGCCATCCCGTCGTGCAGCTTGTTACCTTCAGACTCAGAAACACTTCAATATCATTCTGTTTGAAACTTGTTTTCAAATTGATATTAAAAAGATGCCTAAAAGCTTAGAAGGGAATATCTGGAATATATTAGATCCCAATACCCAAACGTAGAGCAATTTAATTCTAGAAAAGCAACTTAAAGATATTTGACTTTTCTTAGATAAAGCAAAGCCATGCAAGGCATTGTCCAGCAGTAGCAATAGGGAAAAAAACTAATTTTTAGGAATAATCTCTGGACTTGTATAGAGCAGATATTTCTTTCCTGGTATCTGAAATGTCTAAATTAAACAGTGTAATATTTTGTGTAAGACAGAGCATAAAAAGTTTTAAAATGCAACAAGATTATAAGTAACAAGCTATTAGCCCATACCTACATTTATAATATCTATATAGTGGAAAAAAAAAAAAGAACTAGAGAATATAATGAGTAGTTTGTGTTCAAAATACTCAAATGCAGATCAAAGATCAGTGTGAATCCATCCAATTTGCTTTACTTATTTATGTAGCACTCATCTACAACAAGCCCAGAGTGTTCCTGATTGATAGACACAACTTAAGTCCACCAAGATGATTGCAGAAAAGCTTTTGTATTTAACAGAATTTACATTTGCAGATCTTTGCAAACATTTCTTTTCATTTAAAATACCTGCTTTGAATTATTTTGAAAAAAACACTAGAAATGAGCCAACAGCTATGTATCTCCTTAAGTCAAAGAAGCTTCTATTGTTTCTATACATCAAAGAGAAATAGAGACCTCCAGGACCTTTAATGAAATAAAGAAATAAAAGAAGTTTCCAGCCCTTTCAAAGCTTTTCAAGTAGGTCTGGTGAAGCTGCTTTCAAAAATGCATAAAGTTGGAGACAAACTTTATGCTCAAAATCAACTTATGTAAATACATAGTAACATTTATGTCATTAGCTTCTCTAGCTTTTCCTTAAAATAATTTTTCGTTTTGCAGAAAGAAAAAAAAAAAGGGCATGAGAAAAAATATTTAGACACATTTTACAAGAAGAAACACTATTGTTTATTCCCTGACAAAAAAAACCCAGCAACATCCATACATAGGATACAAAATTCAAACTCGCCAAGCCTTCATAAATTAGGAAGTCTGATTCATAATATCAATATCAGCACAATTGACTTTCACTTGTCTCCTGCACAAAGATATGTATAATTTTGTCTACTCTGAGAGAAAAAGAAGTTCTTTCAACAAATGAAGACACCAAGTAATCTTTGTAATGAACAATACAGCTGAATCCAGAGTGCTGTCAAGATCAAGCAAAGTGCCTTAACTTTGTCATCTTGTCAGAGCAGGTTGCAAATAGAACCTTTCATAAAGCATCCTACCTTGACTGCAGCTCATAGATAGACAAATAATAATTTCCACTGGTTTGGATTAATCAATATTCATTTTACTACATTTTTTGCTTATTTTCTAAGTCTTTGTGCACCCACAGAACACAGAATATAAGCCCAAAAAGAGTTTACTACCGAGCTTATGTGGAAAGGGACTTTTCACAAGGGCACATAGAGATAGGACAAGGGAGAATGGCCTTAAGCTGAAGGAAGGCAGGTTTAGATGGGATATTAAAAAAATTAATTCTTTACTGTGAGAGTGGTAAGGCACTGAAGAGGTTGCCTAGAGAGATTGTGGACTCCCCATCCCTGGAGTTCAAGACCCAGCTGGATGGAGCTCTGAATAACCAGGTCTAGTGGAATAACCTGGTCTAGTGGAGGGATTGGAACTGGAGGATCTTTAAGGTCTGTTCCAACCCAAACCATTTTAGGATTCTACCCAAGGTATTAGACTATTACTTACTAAAAAAACTAGCACAAAGCTTGGAAAATAACCAGAATACACATCTGAGAGACACAAGCAGCAAGTTAACAAGTAATCCTTACAACACGCTCTCAACATCCCACCTAACTGACAGTGCTAGACAATGCAACAATCTGTGCAATTACATAATTTCCTTTTTAAAGAAGGCCTAACTGTAGGAAAAAAAATATTTGCAAGAAAAGTTTAAAACATTGCAAACCACTAAGAACTTTTTGGCTGAATGTCTAGATTTCATATTTATCAACAGCCCTATGAGGAAGTGTGCATAGTTCAAAACAAGCAGTTTTACAAAACAGGACAACAACTGAACTGCAAATCCACTACAGTAAATGCACATGCAAAGGACATTTAGAACACAAGCATGACAGAAAGTAGTATCAAGATAAAGCAAAAGAAAAAACAATCATTGTAGAAGAATGCAGGTAAAACTAACCGGAGACTGGGCATCATGTCTATGCCTACACTATGCTCAGTGTGATGCTGGGCAAAGATCACCTTCTACCTTGCCCTTGATAATTTAGGCCACCTGCAGAAAAATAAAAACCTTGGATAAAAAGAAATAGAGTCTATTGTACTTGACAACAACAAGAGATGATCTCGAAGAACACAATGGCAAACCTCGAAAGGGTGAAGAAGGTTGGTTTAAACTAAGAGCACTATGGAACTGCAATGCATGGATTCTCTACACTTGGTTAATAATTTCTTCTGAAAAACTTTCACTCCTCAACATCTTTTGAAATACCAGCCAAATGCACAAAGTTGTGGGGTGGTTTTTTTGTTTGTTTGTTTTGTTAATTTGACTGTTACTATTTAGGGCATTAATAAACAAACAAAAAAGTATTTGCTCAACACATGTTGTTGTGCTGATGCATTGCACTGGTTTGGTATTAACAAACAAGAAAACAAACAGACCCCAACATTTGAATATTTGTATTATATTTAATACAAACAAAAAATATTCTTCAAACCAGGCATCATTTGAAATTCATACAATCAATCTGTACTAACAAACCATGAACTTACAATGCAAAATGTAAGGATACAGTATTGGCTTGAAATCCTTAAATCTGAATTTAAAGTTATTTGACCATCTGCTTATGCTGAAAACCAGGACTAGTGTACTGCTACTTGGGGTGAGGAGCTGGATTTGCTGATGCCTCATTCTGGAGGCAGAATACAAGTTCCCTGCTCCCCTAGACAAGCTCCAGGCTGCTAATGTCATGAATGTTATTTTTGCCTTCTGGCACAATTTCAATTTCCAAGAAGTAGACTTTGATTTTTACTTCGGTAAGACAGCCATGTTTCTCCCACCACAGTAGGAGACTCTCTCAGTGACTCTTAATAAGCTGCAGTGACTATCAGTGAAAAGGTTGGCAGCACACATGCCCAGGTGACCTTCAATGCTCTCAGACAGCTGTTTTCCCCAAGTCTTTCACAGCACAAGAATTCCCACCACCAATGTATTTAGTGCATTGACCCTATCACAAAGATTGACAGATTCTGTAAACCCTCACAGCAATGAATGCAATCTGCACACAGACCTGCATAGCACAACCATCCTCAGAAAAACTCATTCATTTCTCACGAAGGTAACAATCATCCTGTAAAAATTCCTTCAAGTTCACCTGCCTGTATCTTTATATTGTCATTATTCTGTACCACACCTAACACTAGGAAGAGCCTACTAATTGCTTAAGGGTCCTAAAAAATACTTTCCAACTGTTTCACTTCATGCATTATGAAGATCTTTGGGGGATTAGTTAAGAGAGCTTTGCCATTTATCTACCTTTGTTCCTCTAGTAACACTTTAAACCACAAAGGCTTAAAATATACAGGATTGGCACTCATGAGGCAAGTAGTCTTAGAGAAGAAAGAGAACTAACACAAAAAGCTAGGAATTTAGTAAGACATTATTAGGCAGTTTCTTAAACTGATTCAATTTTCAAAGTAAATCTTCCAAAGACATTGCTAAAGCTGGACCAAAATTATTAAGCACATTCTGCTTAGGCTGCTCTCTCTGAACCCACTGGAGACCACCAAGCTTCCCCCAGGGAAGAGAACACCACTGCCAATAGGAGCTATAGGCTCTGCACTCCCACACAGGAACAGAGCCAGGCCTGAAAGCCAGCACAGCTTTCCCTGGGCAGCTCACAAGCAACACACATTTTCCAGGGAAGAACCCTTTTACCACTTCTAGTAAATCTACACCTGGCTTTTACTCCATCACAGGTAAGTCAGCTGAGCTATTCTCAAAACATACTGATGACAATAGGTGTACACACATTGGTCACAGGTCTTCCACAATCTGTTTCAGTTGGTATTTTGCTTTAAGTTTCTTACTCTAAGAAAACACATTTGGCTTTAGGGAAATTAAGTTTCACCTTATTCTTGCAAGCAGGCAAGTCCTAAAAAATCAAGTGTCTGTTCAGATTCATAAAACCTGTTAAAAACCTACAGACAACACAAAATGGACCAAGTATCACTTACTCAAGAAGCACAATGACCACAAGGCAGAACACTAACACTATCAAAGCATCAGCACACTTCTTTCAATCCTGCTTCAGCCAGACCCTAGCTCAGGGTGGTGCTGGAGCTGCCCATGGGCAGTATGGCCCTGTGCTCAGCCAGGCAGTTTTCTGTGGTCCTTGCCTCCTGCAACATGCAGTAGGAGTCTCCAGCATGCTGAAATTCAGCTCAGTGTTGTGGTATCCCCAAACCCATTAAATGTGCCAAAGACACGCTCCAAAATGATCACTTTCTGGCATAACTCATGTTCCTCTTCCCTCATCTCATGATGCTGGCTGGCTTCTGCATGCTTTTAAACAAGCAACATGTAGGCTTGAGCCAAATGCCTATCCCAGAAAGCACCTCTCCCCACTGCTCATTTCCAGGGCTATAAATGTTATCCAGTCAACCTTAGAGTAAGGCAAACACGATATTTTGAGATGTTCAGTGGTGCTTTCATATCTGCTCAAAACATCACTGTTTAAAACCTCAAGAAAAACATGGGGGAAAATTGTGACTCCCTGAAAATGAAAGCCAATTCAACATGGGGCAGACATACCATGTATTTCAGGTTAGAGAATATAGCCGAAAAAGAGGTCAGATTAGAGAATATAGCCGAAAAAGAGCCCAGGTCAACTCTACACAGAACAAGAACAACATAATTTCTGCTGACAAAATACAGCTCTCAGCAATATTCCTGGAACCTCACTCATCAATTGAGGATATTGATTCTTTCTACCAATATTCCTTTCAGAAGAACCACATTGGTATTGAAATGTTCTGCAGCTGCTGCTGTTGCTTTGTATTCACCATCATGAGGCACAGTCCCATCACTCAGTACCTTAATTCAAGCAGTATCTCACATTTTCATTCACCACCCACTATAATCTTCTCATTTTCACTGCAGTCGGACAAGCAGAATAACCATGGTGAGATTGTCTTTTTAAAAGTCACCAAAAGTGTCACTCACACATAATTTTCATGTCTGTACAATGTTCATATCACTTACTGACACACCCAAGAGATTAAAAAAGAGAAAATTTATTTGTTCATTATTCTAAGTTACCTTATATATGCCAATACATCAGAACACATTCTGTACATGGAAATGAACAAAAACCATGGAGAATTAATTTTAAGTTAGTTGGTGGATAGTGCGTAGGAGGAATCAGCTTTATGTTCCTATAAACATGGCTACATTAGATCACATGAAAAGCACATTTACACAACTACACTTTCTCCATCAGTGGCCAAAGAAGGACTTCTACTGACTGCTGGAGCCCAAAAATGAGATGCAAAGCAAAAATTTTTAAAACTTTTGCTGAAGAGATGCTTTCAGACAAAAAGGAGTAATTGTGATGATACAGCTAACCACTATTATCTAGCAACACAGAAGAAAAGATGTTTGAAAAAAAATAATCATCTTTCTTATTAGACCTTGAGATGGAAGTTGGAAAAACCAGATCAGTTTTAGGTTTAAGTTTTTATATTGGTGTCTCCATTTTCAAAAAGCACAAAGATGCGATTTGTTTTAAAGAAACACTGGGAGTTAATGGAGATCAGCAACACAGCCTTCATCTCTACACTCCCTGACTTATGCATAAATATCTCTCCTTACCCTCTCCCTAAGTGAACTGTATTAACAGTAATTTCCTTTTATTACAACCACTTTATTCATCCTTTTGCTTTATCCTCCTGCCAGACAACTCCAACAAGTTACATACTTCACAGGAGAGAAGTGTGTAGCAGATATATAGTATGGCAGGGGGCAGGATACACAGGTCCATGGAGGTCCCAGACAGCACACACTAGCTTGCCTAAATTTCTGGAAGATGGATTATATATGACTTACTAGAAATGAACTATGAATGTTATTAAGTACAGGATATATATTCTCATCTGCAAAAAAGTTTTCAGTATAAGTTTCCTTAATTTTTAAGTACAAGTTACAGCCATCTCAAGCCAATCACAAAATACGGTCATACAAAAGAGCACACTATCAGACTTCATCAGGTTTCAGTAGATTCAACATTTAGTGCAGGTGAACATTACATAGGAGCTCCTATACAAGAGGAAAACCAAACAAATACAAAATTTGCTAATGAAATCTATTGGTATGGTCAGGACTACAGAGCACACTACTCGGCATGCAGGACATTTGTTACAAAGAACCTTTGTACATTACTTTTCACGAACACTTTAGCAAAGGTGCCAAAAGCAAAGAAAAACTCCACATGAAGATATTTCTATTGCTACAACTACTGGAGAATTAATTGCTTTGTTAGGAGGTGCTGGTTTTCTTCTGCAGGCATTAGTGCTATAATGGCTAGTAATGATGAGCCAGCCGCAACACATCACAGCTGAGTAAAGCCCTTAGGCAGAGGAGGAATGAATTAGGGTCCCTCTCACTCTGCTTTCCCAGAACTTACAGAAACCTCATTAAACCCAACACCTGTGCTCCTCCAAGAAGAGGATCAATAAGTTTCTGAGTTAGACAGTTCCACTTCTTTACAGCCATAAAATACTGATGTGATGGACAGATTTCTCACATGGGAAAAATGCACATACACGGACCTCACAGGGAGATCCCACAAAGTTCACGCAGATTTATGGTAGGGTGCAACCAACTAAAATTCCTAACTCACTGGAAACAGTTTCATGCTCTCTCCTCAGAAAAGCAATTTTTTTTTTTTTTTTTTCTGACAAGGCAGAATTAAGGATTTCTTTGACAGTACTCTGGTAGTACTCCAGCGCCAGACAAAGCCTTTTCCAGAGCGGAGCCGGGAGCGGTGCCCGGGGAGGAGTCCCCCGGGCAGGAGCCCCCCGGGCACGGCGGGCAGATGGAGCCCGGCGGGCCCCGCTCCCGCCCTGCAAACAGCGCCCTTCGGGGCGGGGAACGACTCCCGGCCGCTGACCGGGCTCCCTTAAACGCCCGAATGCGATTGCCAAAAGCCACCACAACCCGGAGGTGCCCGCGGTGCCCCGGTCCCGGCTCCGGGAAAGAGGGAGGACGCCGGTCTCCCCTGGGCGGGCTCTCCTCTGCCTCACTACACACACCCAACCCCGCGGCCAGCACCTTTTCGAAGAGAGGACCGGCACCTGCCGACCTTCCCTTGGCCTCCACTCTCGCTCACCTGGAACTCCAGCCCGTAAATCACCGGCGCGTCGTCCTCCATCGCGACCCCCCCAGCCCAGCCAGGAAGCCGCCGTCGCGTCCGATGCTTTCTGACCCTCGGCGCGGCCCGTCGTTGGCCGCTTCCGGGAGCTGCGCGCGCGCAGCCCCGCCCGGCCCGGCCCGAGCGCAGGCGCAGTGCGGGAGGAGCAGCGCCGGACGCGGCGTAGGCAGCGCGGAGGTGACGGGACGGGACGGGAGGGGAGAGAACGGAGCGGGACGGGAGAGAACGGAGCGGGACGGAGCGGAGCGATCGCGCGACCTGAGGGTCATTCGGGTGGGTGGGTGCTCACTGGAGCTGTGCCTGGAGGGGGCCGTGGGGGAGGCCGGGCCCACCCCCACCGCGGGGTGTCCGGGCCGGCGCTGCCCCCGCCGGGCGCTGCCCCCGCCGAGAGCTGCCCCTGCCCAGCGCTGCCCCGGCTGAGCCCGGCCGTGCTCGGCAACTGCACTGCTGACAGCCGGGAGCCCGCGCTGCGCTTTGCTGAAACCGGACCTAGCGGGTCCTTACGACCAGGAAAGCAAATGTTGAGTCGCTAGAATGGCTTGTCCGGGGATGTTGGGGAGGTCCCAAACCTGGAGGAGTTTAAGGGCAGGTTGGATGGGGCTCTGAGCAACCTGGTCCAGTGGAAGGTGTCCCTGCCCATGGTGGGGGGTTTGGAATCAGATGATCTTGTAAGGTCTCCTTCCAAACCAAACCATTCTCTGATACCATTCTATGATACTGTTTCATGTGTGTTTAGTGGGAGGCATTTGGTTTTCAATCTCAATAGTTTTACGACTTGTAGAAAAGATAAAGAGAAAATATTTTCAGAATTGATTCTGTGATTAGACATTTAATGAAAAATGTCAAAGGGAAGATGTGAAATAGTGAAATCACTATTTTTTAAAGGAAGAATTTTACTATGGTATATTTACTAAAATACTTTGGTATTTTACTTTTGTATGGTACTTAAGAGTTTTGCTATGGCACCTGAGCAATATACAAACAATAAAACTAATTCTTGTTTTGGTGGGGGCTTCTCCTTTTTCAGTTACTATGGAGAATAATGAAAGCAATGCTAAGGATACAAAGAGCGCCTCAGGTGAAGATGACAGCAGAGACATAGTTCAGCAGAAAACTCAGGAAGAAATTCTCTTTCATGAGGAAACCATTGACCTTGGTGGAGATGAATTTGAGTCTGAAGGGAATGAAACTGTATCAGAGGACTCAAATAATTTTGTAGATAAACTTAATGAGCAAATGATGGAGAGTGTCATTATTTCAGATTCCCCAAACAATAGTGAAGATGACACAGGTGAACTTGGTTGTCTTCAGGAGATAGTAGACCAAATAGAAGCTAAAGATAATCAAAAAACACAGACAGAAGTGGATAAAGAAGAGTTTTTAAGTAATGAGAGTGAAACTGAGCATGAAGAAACTCCTAAAGACATTTCTGAGATTGGAACAGATGATCAGGCATCTTTAAAGGAAGACTCGATTCAGGAAACAGTGAAGGAGGAACCAAAGCTGGGAAACAATGTTCCTGTTGAAACAAAACCAAATAATGTTGATGAAAGCACATCTGAGGACCAGATGTTGTCACCCAGTACTACCAAACCATCGTCTGAGGCTGAGCCCATTCCTGTGTGCACCATCTTCAGCCAGGCAAACAATGCTAGCTCCCAGCCACAGTTGTTCCTACCTGATGGTTTTGAGCCTCAGATGGTGAAATCTCCCAGTTTTAGTAGTATCATAGAGACTCCCGTGAAGTATAATCCACAGGTGGTTCAGCCAAGTCCCAGTCTAAGCAAGTTCTTTGGTGACACTGTTAACACTAATACTTTAGCTTCCGATTTTTTTGATTCATTCACGACATCCAATTTTATTTCTGTTAGTAATCCCAATGCAAGCTCTTCAGTTCCAGAACAAATGTCCTCTATTTCTAATGGTGGAGATGGTTCTTCATCTAACCCTGCTTTCCCTGTGCAAAATGGGAGACCTGAAACAGGTGGTCCCCCATCATCTCTAGAAATAAGTCAATCCCCCAAGCCATTCTCACAAATCCAAGCTGTGTTTGCTGGGAGTGATGACCCATTTGCCACAGCCTTAAATATGAGTGAACTAGATAGAAGAAATGATGCTTGGATTCCTAGTGAGGAGACAAGAAATGTTCTCATTTCAGTTGCCACACAACAATACAGCACTGTGTTCATAGACAAGGAGAATCTCACCATGCCTGGATTGAAATTCGATAATATCCAGGTAAGAGTCTATTACTGTGTCTTCCTCTGTGATTATATTTTAGAAATACTGTAGATCTGTCCAATAATCTGTATATCATAGTACTTCATATTGTTGCTGATGGTCACCTTGTGTGTATTACTTCAACCCTAATTAGAAAATGCAGTGTCACTGCTGCCTTGTAGGAGGAGGCTAAGACCAGATCTCGTTTATTCACAGTGACATTTGTTTGCTGCATTGAAAACCAGTGTTGACAGCTTCCATAGAAGCCAAAGCTGTTTGTATTTTTAAGTACTTTATTTCTGGTCCTCTGAGTTAGTAAGATAATAGTCACATTTGGAATATATACACACCCTCTAAGCTGTGCTACAGTCTAAGCAGACAGCTTTGTTTGTGGAATTCCCTGTTGTGATTGAGTGGGAAATTATTTCACTCGTGTTCACAGAGGTCTCAATAATGTTAACATTGGCTGAAATGGCATCATTTCTATCTTCCCCAAGTGATGGAAAGGTATAACCTCTAAGAAAGATTGAGTACTGCAGCAAGCTGCTGGCAAGGGATAACCCCAAAATTAAAAGACTAGAGGAGATCACAAAGCAAACAACATAGTAGTGAAAAGTAATTTTTGTCATCTATCAATTTCTAACAGGTGAGAAGGCATAAAGCATTTTTTTTCAGAATTAGGGAAATTTTACTTACATGTATTCTCATGTAAGTACAGAATTTCTCATGAAGTAGTTTTATCCTGGCTGCTCAGCCAGGCTTACTATCATGATGTTTTGGTTTTTTTCTTGAAACAGGCTAATCCTACTCTTTGATATCTATGCCTCTGGATAATAGAATTGTTGTGTAGATAGATGGTGTTGAGAGTTTGGATGCTTTAATCCTTAATTATGCATAACAAAGACCATCAGTCAATAGTCAAATACAAGCAGAGAGCAGTCTGCACTAACTTCCCAATCTGCAGGAGCTATCAGAAGAGTTTCTGGAGTGAATCAGGTCCAGACTTCTAGAGGAATTGTCTGAAAAATCTTGGGTTTCTGTCACAAGCTATAAATACCATGCCACACTGCTGCTGCTTCTTGGGTTTGCTTTATCTTAAAACATTAGTTTGTTATCACAGAGCCAAATAATTAGCATGAAAGAAAACACTATAACAGGAAGCTATTCCTCCTCCAGTTGTACCCAAAATATCCCTTAGACCTTGATGAGTTATTCCAGTGTGTACTCTTTCTCTCCTGACAGCTAATCAGTTAAACAGATGGAGTGATCCCTTCTGCAGTCTCCAAGGATGATGGTCTCCTTTTTGCAAGCTTCCTTTTTTACAATAGTTCTCTTTTACCCTCCTCAGTGCAGTCAGGGATTAAAGGCTTGTTTCTGCTGATGAGTCCCTAGATCTGGGCATGTGCAAATATGCAGATCTAACATTTAGTACATAATTGAAGGGAAGATGTTTGACAGTGTCCATGTAATGTAAAGACCTGATGTAAAATCATCAATGGCATTAAAGGAAATCCTAATGCTTTCTTCATTGTCTGTAATTTATAAGAGTTTCATAGACATGTCCACAGGGAAAAGCTCTGAAGTGCTTTATGTTTAGAAAACTTTCCTCACTTTCAGTTACTGCTTTTCAGTGGCCTGAGTTCATGCCTTGACTAATTTGACATCCCCTGGTTTGGTATCATTGTTCCATAGTATTGCAAATTGTGTATTTAACTTTGTAATTGTAGAGTGCTTGAAATGTCAACTGAAACATTGTGGGAGGTATAGTTTCAATGTTAAAGTAGCTTCCAACAAGGGTCATTACAGCTTTGGTATGAATAGTTTGCTAATGCTGAATGTTGATGCAAGATGTTAAAGCAAGCTACATGTAGTGGACAGTTAAGTTGGTTGAAAAATGCATTTTCAGTGAGTGAATTCTAAGTGTGCTTCAGGGAAGGACTGAAATTTCACATTATATGTATTGACAAGCTTGGAACTTTATTTTTTGCCCTGCTTGCTCAGGAAGTATATTGTAAGACAAGTCTTATGTCAATAAATCACACCAAGAAAAATACTGAATTACTTATTTCAGCTACATGCTACTTTTTGACAATCATTTAAAAAACATTGTGACAATCATTTAAAAAACATTTTACCACATTGGGTTGTGGTAAAGATGGTAAAGGTTATCTGTAGCAGCAATGTCCAAGTGTCAGAACAAATCTGAGTACTGCTTTTTATGTTCTTTCCATTATGCCTTTTTTTCATGAGTTGCTCTCTTCTGTCATTGTCCTTTGTTTCATTACATTCATTTTTACTGTTTCCTACACCAAAGGACTGTTGGATCCAAAGTACTGTTGGGGGGGATTTAAAAAATCTTCTGTATTTATGTAATTTTGCACATGCTGTCTTTTCTTAATTCTTTGGACTCTTCTGTCAGGCAGATCTGTTGTTTATTCATAGGGTAAGTGACATCATTAGAGGTAAAAAATTTCCATGTAGTGAAACAGTAGTTCTCATTTCTTAAGAAGCTAGACAGAAAACACAAATATACTTCCCAGCACTGTCCATGGAGAAAGTTGAAACTCTTAATGTCAATTGTGTTTTTCATTGCTAAACTCTGCTGTTATTATATGCAGTTCACTCTCTTTTTAGGCAAACAGCTATTGAGCTCAGAGTTTCTCTGACTGATGCCTGCAGCTAGTTCTTTTGAAATTTATAACACTTGTTGAAGGGTTGCTGTTTACTTTGGCTTATGATCTCTCAAAGTTTATTTTCTGTGGATATTTAAGGCTAACTTACTGTGTGCATGTTTATTTTTGATCAATAGATTGCACCTTTCAATGTTAACG